CAGAGTAAATGTTAGGGGATCCACAGGGATGACCCCAACTAAGAATCCAAGCAGTGGTGGAGAAAATGCCATTGATGCCCTTTCCCTATAATGAGATTGGTTGTCTACCTTGGTTACCATTCCTAGAGCCTTCATTTAGTAGCTGTTAGAAGCAGAAACAGGCACCCACAGCTAGGCACTGAACCATTATCCCTGGAATCCAATTGTGGAGAGGGAGGAGGGATGAGCAAAGAAGTCAAGACGGTGTTGTAGAAACATGAGGAAACAGTTGACCTGACCTAGTGAGAGCATGGAGACCCTAGTCATAAACCTGGGGAAACAGCATTGGACCAAACCAAGCCCTCTGAATGTGGGTGCCAGCTAGGAGGCCAAGACAGTCTATGGGACCTCTAACAGTGGAGCCATCTTTAACCGTAGAGCACAAATGGATTTGGGAGCCCATTCCCTATGGAGGGATACTATTGCAGCCCAGATACAGCAAGGAGGGCCTAGGCCCTCCCCCAAATGACATGATGGACTTTGACGTTCCCTGGTGGAGGGCCACACTATCCCTGGGGAGGAGTTGGGGGATGGGTTGGGGGCATTGGTGGGGAGCATGGGAGGCTGGGAGGGCGAGGGAATGGGGGGATGGATATGTAAATATGAGTAGTAATTAAAGAATTTAAAGAAAAAGAAAAAGATACAAATAGATTCCTAGAGCCCAATCTTGCATTCGTGATGAATACTGTTTCCACTGCCAGAGGCGCCATAGACTGACCAGGCTTCCCAAATGACACCCATATACCTGAGGCCTGATTTGGTCTTATGCTGGTTTCCCAGCTGTTACACTGGGTCCTTGAGCTCCCAATTGCTCAGGCCAGTTGTTTCTGTGGGTTTTCCCAGCATGGACTTGACCACTTTGTTCATCGCTCCTCCCCCTCTACAACTAGATTCCAGGAAGATCAGGTATCTGTGAATCTCTGCTTCTGCTTCCATCAGCTACTGGAGGAAGGCTTGTGGAGTCATCAATCTCATTATAGGGGAGGTGGGCATTTAAGGCAGCCTCTCCGCTATTGCTTAGATTCTTAGTTGAGGCCATCTTTATGGCTTCCTGGGGATTTCCCTAATGCCAAGTCTCCCCATTTCCCATGGAGAGATACTCGGTCATACCAGATCGAGAACCTAGGAATTACCTCAAATAACGACACAGACTTTAATGATCTCCCCATGGGAGGCCTCATCCTACGTGAGGAGTGGATGGGTGATTTGATGAGGGGGGTTGTGGGGCAATGGAAGGTTGAGAGGGAAAGGAAACTGGAATTCGAATATAAAATAATATTGTTTATAGTTTAAATAAAATTAATAAGAAAAGAAAAATATGAAAATAAAGGATAGATGTTCATTCATACCTATATGGTATATCATACAAGAATTGATTTTCTAAGTGAAAAATGCATTAAATGCAAGGCAGATTATATCTGGATATCCATAAAATTCTTCATATCATGCAGTGTAAAAAAACTTCCTAATTTATTTATCTTATTTCATGAGCATTGATTGGCTTTTTGCCTACAGATATATCTGTATGAGGGCATCAGATCCGTTGGAATTGGAGGTACAGACAGTTGTGAGCTGCCATGTGGGTGCTGGAAATTGCACCCGGGTCCTCTTGAAAAACAGCCAATGTACTTAACTACTCAAACATATCTCCAGCCCCAACACACTGAGCAAAAATTTAAATGATATATTTTTGTTATTTTAAATTACATGTATATGTATAACTGTGTGTTTGTGCATACATGATAGCAGTGTCCGGAGATGCCAGAAGAGGGCGCTAGACCCCTAGGTCTGGAGTTACAAGCAGTTGAGAACACCCTGGATGCTGGGAAACAAACCTTCGTCATCTGCAAGAGTAGTAATACTCTTAACAGATAGACCATCTTCCTAGCCGCACACTGACTAAAGTTTAAACAGTTGTGACCCACACATTTAGGTTTTAAACACGCAGCACAGATCTGTGGTCTTGCCTTGATTTCAAGACATAAAATGGTGGTCCAGTTTCGACTTACTGTCACCACGGATAAATCCATGAAGATAGTCATCAAAAGGCTTTTCATTCTTCAAAAACGGCACATGATTTTTAAAATAATAATTAGAGACGACGACATCTCTTGGATTCCTGATGAGATAAATAATCTAAAGAGAGGAAATAGTTTATTAGAAATGTCTGTCTGTCATCATTTCTGCACACCTAAAGCAAACTGCTAAAGTCTTTACAAAAAGCCACAACACCCATGTGGAGGTTAAGGGATGACTTGCATCTTTTCCCTACATCCATGAGTGTCTCAATGAAGGGTTGCCTTCCCTTCTACCATTTCCTTTACTCTGAGATAAAGGATGTTAAGTTAAACTTCCATCTGTGGAAGTTTAATTAGCTGCCCCAGGCATGCATGGTTCAGTGTTGAAAGAAAATTTGAGGGGGCTACAGAAATATTTCCGTGGTTGAAGCAGCGGTTCTCAACCTGGGGTCCGATAAGACCAGAAGAGAACACAGGTATTTATTTTATTATCCACAACAGTAGGTGAATTATAGTTATGGCATGGCAATGAAAACAATATCAAGGCTTGAGGTCATCACAACAACAGGAATTGGATGAAAGGGCCTCAGCATTAGGAAGGTTGAGAACTAGGGGCTTAAAATGATTCCTGCAAAAATAAATGAAGATTGGAGTTTGGGTCCTCACTTGTGATGGCTATTCTTGGTTGTCAACTTGACTATATCTGACATGAACTACAATCCAGAAATGGAGGGCACACCAGTGATCTGTATGTTCAGGGAGGAAGACAAAATGCCTTTGTTTCAGATTTTAAGATGGTATGACGTACAACTTTGATCCAAATCTTTTTATCCAGATATTTTTATTTCAATTAGAAACGTATTACTTTAATGCCAGTCCAAGTTCTCTCTCCCTCCAACCCTTCCTACCCCCAACAAAACCTTCACCTCATCTGCTTTCTGCTCTCCAGGAAGGGTGAGGCATTCCATGGGGAATTGGCAAAGCCTGTCACATCATTAGGGACAGGAACGTGGTCCCCTGTGTTTCCAGACAGAGAAAATATCACTCTATGGGAAACAGGTTCCCTAAGTCCACTCATACCATAGGGATAAATACTGTTCCACAACCACAAGCCCCATAGACTACCAAGGCCTCCTGACTGACACCCACATTCAGGGGGCCTGGTTTGTTACTATGTTGGTTTCCCAGCTGTCAGTCTGGGGACAATGAGCTCCCTCTTGTTCAGGTCAGCTGTGTCTCTGAAAAAAACAATAGAAACTTGAAATTTGCAGGAAAATGGATGGAACTAGAAGAAACCGTTCTGAGCGATGAAACCCAATCTCAAAAAGACAAACACGGTATGTACTCACTCATATGTGGATTTTAGACATAGAGTAAAGGATTATCAGTCTACAATTCACACTGCCAGAGAAGTGAGTAAACAAGGAGGACACTAAGAGAGACATGCATGGTCCCCTGGAGAAGGGGAAAGGGACAAGATCCCCTGAGCAAATTGGGAGCAAGGGGGGAGGGAGCTAGGAGAATGAGAAGGGGGTTAGAGGAGAGGTGAGGAGGACATGAGGGAGCAGGAAGGTTGAGTTGGGGGAAGAATAGAGGAGAGCAGGATAAGAAATGCCATAATAGAATTGAAGAAAACAAGAATGGAGATATCATAATAGAGGGAGATATTCTGGTTTACAGAGAAATCAGGCACTAGGGAAATGTCTGGAGATCTACAAAGATGACATCAAATATCAATCTAAGCAACACAGGAGAGGCTCCCTTAAATGCCTCCCCTGATAATGAGATTGATGACTGACTTATATGCCATCCTGGAGCCTTCATCCAGCAGCTGGTGGAAGTAGAAGCAGACACCCACAGCTAAACACTGAACTGAACTGGAATCCAGTTGCAGAGAAGGACGAGTGATGAGCAAAGGGGTCCAGACCAGGCTGGGGAAACTCACAGAAACAGCTGACCTGAACAATGGGGAGCTCTTGGTCCCCAGACTGATAGCTGGGAAACCAGCATGGGACTGATCCAGACCCAAGGAACATGGGTTTCAGTGAGGAGACCTCAGAAATCTATGGGACCTCCTGTAGTAGTTCAGTACTTATCCCTAGCACAGGTGTGGACTCTGGGAGCCCATTCCACAATGAGGAATACTCCCTGAGCCAAGACACACGGGGGTGGGCCTAGGCCCTATCCCAAAGGATACGATAGACTCTGATGACACCCTATGGAGGGCCTCACCTCCCTGGGGAGCAGAAAGGGTATGTGATAGGTAGGGTTTTAGTTGGGGTGGTGGTGGTAGGAGAGGTAGAGAAAGAGAGGGACATGTAAAACAATCTTGATTCTAATTCAAATAAAAAACCCTCAACCATAAAATTTTTATTTAAACTAACACTATTATTATATAAAATCATTGCTTCAGTTAAACAGTAAAGCTTAAGACTAAATCATCTACATAATAATCCACAAGTAAAAATGCCCAGTAGAAAGGGATATTTCCATGAAATGATCATGCTGCATTAAGGGCTGTGGGGATCTCCACAGGCACATTCAAACCATGCCAGATAACAGAGAAAAATGGCAGTGGCAAACCTATGAAGTCCCAGCATAGAAAGCACCCTTCAAGGGCCAAGGCTCTTGGGGACTTGCTTCTACAAGAATCACCCAGAAGTGTGGAAGCCCAGAGTGACTCCATTTCATCTTGCCCAAATAGCAGGATGTTTAGATAAAGGCATGGTTACTAAAAGTTTAAGAATTAAGGAGGGGATTATGCTTGTTTGTTCCTTGAACCATCGTGAGGAAGTCTTTTGCACCCTCTTCTTGCTTTGGTTATAAAAGAGCTTTGAGATATAAATTCAGGGCTGCTGCAATATGCACTGAGAGCCCTCCCCTTCTATCTTCTATCTTTTGACTCTTTCCTAATCCTCGCAAACCATCTCAGGCACTGTTTGAGAGGTTGTCTGGCTCTGACACATCAGGGTTTTGTTTCCTGGTGGAACAGTCCCCTGAAGTGAATTTCCACCTGCTGCTCCTCTGACGTGGCACCAGCAGACCCTCTTTTCATCTGGGCCACAGCTTGTGCTAGAAGTCTATACGA